AGACGTTTACTTCTGTCAGACTACACGGTGCTACAATTCAGAAAACAGCCATCTTAGGGATTATTTCCTTAGCGCCTTGTGTTTCTTTGCGGTATGGACTGAATTCTTAAATATTACTTAGACAAGCTTCAGCTTCAAAGGGCTAATGAATACGCAATTTTCCTTTGAGTTGCGTTCATTAATTTTAAGTTTATTTTACAACACTGATATATTTGAAGCACTGAGAAAGCTTGGACCAATTACTGACAGCCCCTATTTATAGCATAACATGACACAGTTTCGATATAAAGAAGTGAGAAATATCCCTCGCCTACGAACAAATGTGGGACCCGCATCTTATGACTAGATTAGTCGACGTCCGATTTTCATATATTGTCGTCACGTATGAACAAGATGAGCGTGGATGTGTGGCGGAAAAGCTGTGGATGTACCAGTTTCGAACCTTATTCGGATTACCGGCTACCAAAATTAATATTTCTTCATTGCACGCACAGTATGGAGGGAACACCGACGCGCAGAAGATTGCTTGATGGGTGACTATATGTCCCGTTGCATAAACCAAGCTGCATTGTGCCTAGACACAATCAGTACTGTGAAATGCAGACAATAATATTTTCAGAGCCGAAATTGTCACGATGTATTTGGTATCCCCGTTGTTGATACAACTGGCGTGTATTCAGGGTTTTGATCTATGATCTTTGTACAGATGAAAGACTGAAATCTTTCTGATTTAATTTGCGATATGCAGTCTCAGTTACTATAGGCATGACAAACTATAACATATAATAAATACAACATTCTTCTCGCATTTCTGAACGAGGTGTGCTTGCTGTTTCTGTATTCTTGCTATCAACATAACTAATACCTCAGGAAGTCCTTCTGCAAAGTGGAATTAGTTAAAGCATTCAAAACAGGTTCTTATTCTCGTTATAAGGGTACTTCCGTTTCCATGTAGGGTTCGTGTCAGAACACGAAGTGACCTTATACTTATTCAGTAATTTTGTTAGTCATTGAAAACAATAAAGGTGGACAATTTCATGAATCTGTAACGCTGGAAACAAGAGGAAACGAAAGCATTGTTCACAGAACAATCACACTTGACATAGGCCTATATTGTATGACGATGTGTCCGTTTTTGTACGACTTAAGCAGGGTCAGATGACCCCTAACCTAAGACGGGCGAGTACAGAACAAATGTGGTAGAACGACGAGGCACAACGACATGAATACTTACACGGAGCGCGGAAGTTTCTACAGTTCATCGAACAACGCGGCCAAATGGCTACCATTCCCACTTCATAATCGGTAGATCCCGGGTTCATAGGGCGTATATGCATTAGGAGATTAGAAATTCCGATATGTATTTGCTTGGTTTTCCTTATTCATTCCACGTAAATACCCTGGTAATGTCTTGGAATATGCCTCGAGTGACTGCTTTTAACTAATCTTTCACAATAACCCCTGAGCTAAGAAAGCGTCATTAAATTTACAGTTGCATTCTACATCGTAGCATTAGAAACGTTTACATGTGGTGAACTCCATGAAACGAATTGGGCCATAGTATCCGACGTCCCCACCGGGGTTTGAACTACAACCATAGTCAGTCAGGCCAACGATTTCAGATTCTCCCTCACATTTGCGTACACAATGGACAACTGAACTATGGAACGTCCGATGAGACGATGTCGAACACTGTGTGGACGGAGTGTGCGAACAGGTCGATAGGTGTTCGGTGGTGTGTACGCGTCTGAAGGCAAGCGTTCCCGTTTCGCTCTCCTCCTAAGCAGCCCGCAGTCACTCATTTTGACGGTTGTTTCGGATCGTAAGATGTAAGCTGTTGGTGCCCATAAATTGGAATTTCTACTGTAAGTCATTTCATGTCATTTTCGGCAAAAAAAACCCAAAGTACATTGATCTGTAACTAGCTTCACGGAGTGCAGACCTCCAGAAGAACGCCAGACATACGAACCAAGTACTTCCGAAAATTGGTCTCGAGAGTTTCTTCACGCCACTCTGCTTAATTCTGTCTCGCAAAATCCTAAAGAATGAGTCCAGGCAGTAAAATTCTGTGTAACAAGTGACCCCGCATCGCCATACAAAAACCACGAGGACCTAGCTTTGTTCGTGCAGAAATACAGAGTCTCATAGTTGACGGTTTTGTGTTCCTCTGTGTGTAAGGGGTGGCAGTCGCTTATCTCGTGCTTCTGACTTTCCCGGCGGGAGTTGAGGTCGGTGACCTGCCATCTTAAGAGGCGGGAAGACCTCCGCTTTCGAGGGCGTGTTCTAAAAGTAGCTCCACCTTCTCCTACTGCCGGCGCCTGTTCTGCAACCACCGAGCCCCTTGATTCATTGCACAGAATCACGCATACTCCATCTCTCGTTGGTGACACATGAACACGCATTCATTGTCGCTGTGTCTCGTCAGTTCACTCTTCCTCGTGTCATTTTATTTTCCCCTTTTCACACGCTAATATGTTGAGAATGTCTGCATGTGGGCAAGAAGGATAAAAAAGTATGCCCGTCATGTGAGCCGATGTGAAAATGTGACGCAATTATGCCTTCGATAGCACTGGCATCAACCAACCTACACGATTCTGAAAAATGAGCTGTTAATATGTTGTTTCTTTCTCAGCGGGTAGTACGAGGCTGGAGCGTCAGATTGAGATTAATCTGGACCCTGTTGACATTTGGGGGGGGGGGGGGGGGG